CCCGCTCTCCTGGTTTTCCTAGCGACTTCGTTGCAGCCAGAACAGTCAAAAACCGGTCACCATCCAATTTATTGGTCAAAACTGTTGTCTATTGTTCAGCAAAACGTAGTCGTAGGGGACCGAACAAGCGAAAAAAGTACGGTGTAATGTTTTTGTACTTTCCCCGTTTCTGATAAAATGGGCCGACAATTCACTGTAAACACCAAAAAATGTTTTTGCAAAAATTTTTAACAATTTGGAGTGCCCGAGTTTAAAATGTAAGTTATTTAAAAGATTGATATGTAAGGTAGAAGAAGAATGTTTACACATTTTTCTAAATGCATGATGTGTAAAGAGTAGCAAAAAATAGCTTGTATTGTTACAGAACTCGACATTGTGGTTTTGTTCCACAGAGTGTCTAGTAAAGCTCCGTAGGCGTTACACAGCGACTAGGTGACCTTTTTCGTAAGTAATGGTATAATAGGAAAAAAAAATTATTTTTTTTTTTCAAATTTTTTTTTCTTTGCCGCTCAACCAAAAATAGTTTAAATTTTGATTTTTTTTTTTTTCTCAATTTTTTTTCAACTTCAATTTTTTTTATCTTGGGCACCACAGACTGGAGCGAGACCTGTGGATATTAAATGACAAAATAATAACGATGAAATCCTAATGTCTGCCACCATATCTGTATCGTTTCACTGATTAAAATTGAAAATAATCCTTTGTCGGCATGCTTAAATCGTCTGCATGTTTCCAGTTTCACACATAATTATTTACATTGCAAATACTTCCGTTGAAAACGGATGTTAACTTTTTGACTATTCAACAAAAAGATATTTTTATACGCGAAAAAAGCACCCCAGGTTGGCAAAACAACACTAAATTTTTATGAGTGTCCATAGTTACTTCAGAAAAGAAATTGATGTCCCTATCGGGGTTTAACGTTGAAAATAAGAATGAAGAATCGAGAAAAAATTGGCCGCCCACTTTTATTTCATTTTTATTTTAGAAAATAGACCCACGGGTGAACCAGATTTTTATACTGTTAAAAAGTAACTGTTACCTATGTAACAGTCACAAAAATTCTTAGTCACGTGGGTACACTTTGCCATTTAACAGTAAAAATAACTCCCAGAGGCCTATGGGAAATTAGCATTACAAAAAAGTGAGGGGTAATAATACTATATAAGTCCCTTTTGTTACTATTTGTATATTTGTTACAATAATAATAAAACAACAGACTTTGTTCATTTTGACTATACTGTTTGTATGTTCGAAAGAAAATACATTTAATATTCTAATCTCTAGCAAACCTACCGAAGTTCATGTTGTCCTATTCAGCCATTTATCTATGATATACAATGCTGGTAAAATCCAATTAACCATTCAAAACTGTATAAGTATATCTAGTCATCAGATGTCTACTAGTTCATCGTCATTTGTTACATTTTTTTTTGCTTGGACACCCTTTGATGCTTTGCATCAATTTTTTTCTTGCAATATCATCATAAACCATTTGCCGCGAAAAATGTAAAGGACATTTTGAAAAAATAAAGTCCATGAAAGTTTTTGTTTTGGCTCATTTACATATCGATTTTTATATTTTGCTACCATGATTAGTTGTTGATATTTGTAGAAAATGAGTAACATTATAGGTGAAAAACATATGTATATGCTTTGATATTTTTATCATCTTATATAACTGACTACAGTAGTGACACAAACAGAACAATGTTGCACTACTGGCATGTCACATTACATTTACAAGTCTTGTAAGTCTTGTTTGTATTCAATGAAATTACTTTCCTTACCAGGTAAGCATCAGTGAAAGCATATTTTTTTTAATTTAATATCTGGCCCCTCTCTCATGGATAGTGCATACGATAAGTATAATTATGCAAAAAAAATGATTTACAAAACATCCGGAATAATGTTGAATAGTACTATATCTGAATATAACATGACCTGTGCGTAGGAATGATTTGGTAAAGTATCTGCAATGAGCACATTTTTCTTTTGCGCGGAGCTTCTCAATTGCTGCATTGCAGCAACATTTGTACTTGCAGATTAATGTTACAGGTAATTGTAAAGGATAATTTTCAGAAATTCCATTGGTGTTCACGAGTTGTTAGCGTTTGTGCGAAGTAAATAATGCAATTGAAAAGAATTAAGGCAATATATAAACCCATTTTCACTTGTTCATGCTTTATATACCCTTGCCATAATTTCACTTTAGAATAATTCTAAACTGTCTAAATGATTTGATTATATTTAAGATCTCAACAAAGTAAGTATCAAGTAATAGAATTATCTTGAAAAGTCCAAAACAACATACTGAGTTATGGTAGACACAACGGCAGAGAGGTACTTGCAAATACATTCCAATGCTAAATATAATAACACAGTGTTATTGATTATTTCTGGTAAATTTTTGATCAATTATGATGATACTGTCATCGTTGATAACTGAAAAGATATTTTAGCCGATGGGGTTGCGGTCGTAACATTGCCGGATAAATATACTCAAACAGACAATGCCATTCAATTCTTATTCGTATCTCACAATAAGTAGCTCGCTTGACTATGAATCGGGGGAGAGTGATCATACCATAAAATACTTTTCGCCCTGTATCTCTCGCGCTAGTAGTTATCAGTTCATTGCATAGTATAGGCACTTGTACGAGTAAACTGCTTGACAGCCTGCCCAGGATCGATGCTGCGGCTGAACTGTGCTCTGATAGAGTCTGAGTGGCTTACAGCCGTGATCCGCAGGATAACCTAACACTACCACCAAGAGTCACAACATAATGATTCATTGCAGACACAACAATTTATACTTTATACAGTTGTAACTTCCCTTGCTCTCCTTTGCTATCAGTATTATTTTGTCATTTCTGAAGTTTAGATTTCCAATACTTAATTCTTTTTATACACAACACACTTTTCGTGGGCTCTTATCAGCAAACTCAATGAAAATTAACAATTTGATCTAATCGAAATGCTTGAAGTGCAAATACTTTTTCCCTATCCAGTTGTTGTGTGTACAGTTTTCCAATATCATTACATTTATTACGTATGAAAATACCTACTTTATCTTTCAACTGATTACTTTAAAAACTTAGTTATTTCAGATTTTTTGTCATTTTATTCAGGAAGTTTTTGGAACAATATCTGCTAAAATGAAATATTTATTACCTTTATTGTTTGGTTTGGCTTTAATTTCATCTGTTTATAATGGTGAGTATTGGAACGAAACTTTTTTCATATGATATTTAATTTCTATATTTTAATTCTTGGTTATTTTGCCATGATGATTTTTAACATTCTGCATTAATTAAAGAGACCTTTAGAAAATATGGTTAACAGATATATTTGAAAAGGTTATCTAGTATTGTCTCGGTTAACCAATTGTCATGTTATTGATGTTTCGAACTTTGTCATACTGATATTTCTGCAAATATATACAGTTTAATAATTTTATCAACGTGTGAGTCATAATCAAACAGTGGTTAATAAAAGAGAAAATGGAATTGACAATCCTTTATTTCATCACATTTGTTATACCAAGTAAATTAAACATTTTCAATTCAAAATCGTATTGTTATATTACATATATTGTATAAAGTTTGCATAATTGTTTATGCTTCGGTCTGTCATTAACATTGAATGTTTAACGATCATCGTCTTAGCTTATCTAAATGAATTACACTTTCTAAATGAATTACACTTTGATAATAAAGTATGTTAAATCCTTTATAAGATTATGAATTGTTCGACGTAAATGGATAAACATATTTTGAATAACAATTGTGTGTAATATTTATAGAGATAGGAGGAGTATCATCATTTAAATGTAGGCAATGTGAATGGTGTCCCGAATACGAAGACGAACATTACCTGTCATCATACATGTACATGTATGTTTCCTGTGAAGGCTCGTGTGTTAAATCTATTAAAGATAACAGTAAGTCAATCATTTTTATTACATTTGATTGATATCAGTAAATATATATTGTCATATATTTCAAGTAAGAAACAACATGTACTTTGTCTTCTGACAAAGTCAGATCAGCCAATTCTCACACAAATAATTCTTCAAAAAGAAACCTTCACTATAAACGAAGATAACACTTTGAACCCAGAGGATTAGAATGTATTTGGATTGAAATCATGCCGTCTCATTCAAAACGTATTCTTTTTGCAGTCTTTAATCGTCCACCCAACCCAGGTACTTACAATATTAATCAAATTGAAGAATCTATCGGCCTAGCCCTTGATACTGGTATATCAGGCATTATTGTGACTGGTGACTTATATTTTAATGAAACGAATCCACAAATGGCAAGAACATTAAACTCTATCTGTATGCAATTTAATCTTGAGCAAATTATTTCTAAACCTACCCACTATACAGAGTCATCTTTTATCTAAACTTGAACTCATCCTAGTATCTAGTAGTCAAAATGTAATATAATCTTAGGTAGGTGAACCAGTTGTAGACCAGAATCAAAACCATGTGTTAAGTCTTTCAAGCGTCTTGTATGGCTGTATGACAAAGGTGACTATAATTTACTTAGAGACAACATTTCTGCTACAGGTTGGGAGCAATATAAGGATAACGATACCAACAACTACACTTCCGCATTTACAAACAATATACTAAAACTTGCAAAGCAGTCTATTCCAACACGAAACAAATGTAAAACCAAATAACAAAATATGATAAACAAGATCGACAAGGAAAGGCGGCGTTCAATGAACGCAGCCCCACCCGACCCAGCAACAAGCGCCAGCGGCAAGGAGCCCAGGAGGACCCCAAAGAAAAATAGGACAGGGCATAAGGCAGAGCACGGGCAGGCAAACCACTACATAAGAATAAATAATTAAATAATAAACAAACCATGGATATCGTCACTTACAAAAAAGAAAATTACTAAATGTAAGAAATACTACAATAGAGCCAATTAACACAAAATTCTCTCAACAAGCTTAAATTCAAACATTACGAAATGAAGTAGTATCTCTGATTCACACTGCAAAGCAAAACTATTTTCTAAAAAATGGCTGATACACTAAAATGAAAAACTCTAACACCAAAAAACTGGTGGAAACTCTTTTAAAGATTTCATCTATCCGCCTGAAAAAACAAACTATTCAATCCTCTATTAAATTCTGCTACATGTGAACTTGTTTTGATTCATTTTCGGAAAGCAAATACTCTGAATGAATTCCTTTTTTTGCAAAATCTTTAACAACTAAACACACTGGTCTTCCTAAGAAACCGTTGCCAATCTCCAGGAAACAACTAGAAACGTGTTACATATCCCCCTCAAAATGTGGAAGACGCTCTAGGCTCTTTGAAAAACAAACAAAGCTTTCAGGACCAGATGGAATCAGTAAAAGAATACTACGAGAAACAACATCTGTTCTTAAAAACGTTTATCTTTGTTTCTCTAATCAATCAATCTCTTCAATGTAGTACGGTACCCCTTATGTAGAAAATATACAAAATGTAGGTCCAGTCTTTAAGAAATGTGATCCCTCATTACCGAACTTATTATCGACCAATATCTTTACTTTATTGTTACAGAAAAGGTCCTTGAGCGTATTATATTTTAGTATGTTTTTAACTTTTTTCGTGATAACAAATTTCTTTCTCTTCTGTACAGTTTGCCTTTCACCAGGGAGACTCAAAAACAGTGGGGGAATCAGCTACATTAAATATATAATACCCCTTTGTAAGGCTCTCGATGATGGATTAGAAGTAAGAACAGTATGTTTTGATATAAGTTAAGCTTCCGACAGGGTATGGCATGATGGTCTTCTCTATAAATTAAAAAAATGCTGGATTAAATGAAAAATTATTGAACTGGTTCTCTAATTATCTTTCCAACCGACGTCAATGTGTCGTTCTTCCAGGAGCTCATTCTAATTGGTCAACTGTAAATTTAGGAGTTTCTCAAGGATCTATTCTTGGGCCTCTGTTTTTTTTGGTAAACATTTATGATATTGTTGACGATTTAAACTCAAGTCGCTGATACTAGTTCGTACATAATTGTTGACTATCCAATAACTGCCGCGGCGACTCTTCAATCTGATATCGACAAAATTTCAAGTTGTGCTGATAATTGGTTTGTCACATTCAACCCTTCTAAATCGGAAACTATGATTATATCACGCAAAACAGATAAGCCTTATCATCTGCCACTTCTAATGCATGATCGGCCTATCTCCTCAGTAAATAGTCATAAATATCTTGGCCTTACTTTTCGGAAAAGAATTCATTTCATGAGAAAACTTAAATTTACATTAGACAGAAGATCACTAAATGTTATATATCTTTCATTCATAAAAATGTTATTGAATATGCAGATGTAGTCTGGATCAACTGTACACAATATGAAAAATTTGAGCTTGATAAAAATTCAACACGAATCCCCCCGTATGTTTTCGGGCCATAATTTATTCTTCTGAATTAAAGGAAAGACTTTTTAAACCCCCCAAAAATCAAAAAAGACTCACAAAAAAATTTTTTTTTACAAATGAGAATGGGCTCACAAATATTTTTTTCCCCTTAGTCCCACATAAATCGAGGAAATTACGAAAATTTTTTATGGGGGTATTTTTTAAAAAAGCCCAGAATTACCCAAAGGGTAAAAAAAAATTACCCCTTTTAAACCAATGGTCCATTACCCTTGGTTTTAAAAAAAAAATGCACGCAAAAAATTTTAAGCGGGGGCTACCAAAATAAAATCGTCTGCGCTCAAAAAAGATATAACTAAAAGTCAATCATTACCAATTTAAAGGGGCAGCTAACCGGGACAATTTCATGCTGTTTTAAACATTCAGGAGTTTTTAATATTTTTTCAGTCTTGATGTACTTACTTCTTTAGAAAAAAAATTTTTGATTTACAATGCCAAAAAATATTTTTTTCTCAATGATCAGCAAAAAATTAGTCACTTGATTTTTTTAAAATTACCCTTTTAATTTTGATTTACGATTTTATAAATGAAAAAAAAAACAAGGGGGTTTTTTAAAAAAATTACATGTACATAATTTTGATATACAAAAAATTTTTTTTTATGGGAAAGTGTATGGGCTAAAACAAAATACCCTGAGAATGGGTGTTAATTTTTTACTTTAATGATGGTTCGTGTCTGTGTTAGTGGGTAGTAATACTAAGTGAAACAGCTGCTGTTCATTAATATCATGTTGACTAAAATGTTCTTACCCCCAGATTTTGAAATGTACCCCCAATTTTCAATGACGGGGTACATGTACCCCTACATTTCAAATTGAGTGGGCATGCTGTAAAAGGTATTATAAAAATGCCTCAAATATTACATTGGTGAAAGAACATGGCAAGTCATGCTCCGAACAGAATGTAGCTCTCACAACCATCATTTATTAAAAAAAATGTCCTTCACACCAAAGTGTCAATGTGGACTCCTGGAAAGTAACCATCACTTGTTTTTTAAGTGTAACTTCTATGATATCAGACTTAAACTATTTGATGCTGTTTCTAACTTCTGAACTATAACACTTCACTCCTTAATAAATGGAGACCAGAATCTGAGCCATTATATTAATTTTAAAATTGTTCAAGCAGTTCATGTATATAATATACGTGAAAGCAAACGATCTACATGAGCTTAGTTTCACAAAATAATTTTTCCCACCTTGACCTATCCGAACCTTTTTTCTAATTCTATTTAATTTTTATATTCTTAAAAAATAAGATCTTATGAACAATAGCTAGCTTCACTACTATTCTCCACCTACGTCTTCGCACTTCGTGGGAGCTTTTGTATTTCCGCTGTGAACCATGACGTAGACCTATGTTTTAGGTACTGTGTAACAGCAGATATCAAAGCTGCCCTGGTCTTATATTTCTTTCTTGCAAGCAATTTTTTTCAGTTCTGGAAACAAATAAAAGTCACAGGGGGGCGAGGTCTGGGCTATAAGGAGGGTGAGACAACAATTGCCATTTGTAAGAGTTGATAACTATGGAGGGCGATCGTTGCCAAAATTCCAGACATGTAATGTGTTCCTTTTGAAAACTACTTTTGAAAATGCGAACATGTATGTCTAGCATTTTTGATTGCATTCGTGCACAGCAAATGATATGCCTCTTAATCCAATCTTTTATTTGAAGGCACCCGCTTTTAAATAACAAGTTTACATGTAAATCTTAACAACTGACCTAACACACATTAACAAGTTCGTATCTACCATTGCATATAATACATAAGCATGTTTACACACTTGTAGATATATATCTGTACCTGAAAAACACAAATGAAATGTAAAACTCGAATGCAGAAAATATAATTTAATAAAACGTGTTTCCAGTCGTAGAACTACAACAGTACATTTACACAGTTACATGTTTAAAATGGCAAAAGTAGATTCACAAAGTTAAACGATTTTAAGTCATGCATGACGCCCCGCCCCTCTCTGAGTATTTACGATCTTCTATCTCGGAAATGTACGGACAGGTATAATACCCGTCGCCTCTCTCCTATTTCTCAATAAAGTGAAGGAAAACACGGCGTCCATTCTAACTTTTTTATTTCTATAAAAAGTCCAATATTATTGGTATCAAATGAAAGATTACTGATACTCCATAAGCTTTCTATGAGTGCCTCGGAAATAAAAAAGAATTAAATAGATGTATTGAATGTTTTGTTTTTTTACTTGATGTAAATAACACTCTCGAATTGGTAAGAAAAACACGGCGTTCCCTTCAAACTTTTTTTTATTTCGTAATATATTTTGATAATTTTGGATTGAAATAAAAGTGTGCTTAATACGATTTATGATATATAATTATATAATGCCTCAAAATAAAAATGAATTAAATCAAAATGAATTAACTTTTCGTTAAAAAGTTTATCATGTTACTTTCTGTAAAATAGAGAAAATAAGAATCCCTAAAGAACGCTCAAAACGACAAAATTGAG